CCATGCCCATCCCCGATGACGTGGCCGACATCAATGCCAATCCCCCCCCCCCCACACCCATATTGAGCAATCCCATCCTAGCTGGCATCCGCACCCTTTAACCAGACACATACTCAATCACTGCCACCATTGAAAAGCAACTGCTATCACCTGCCATCAAATCAACTCACTCCATGGCCGTAACATGGGACCGCGTCAAAACAGCAACAGCGAGCGACACAACAATGGAGAAGCTCCTTTCAACCATTACAGCTGGCTTCCCCGAGTTTCGCCACGAACTCCCCCCTGATTTACAGGAATTTTTCCAATTTCGTGAACACCTCTATGCCATCGATGGAGTTACCCTATACAAAGCTCGCATTGTTATACCCTCATCCCTAAGAAGTCACATCCTATCCATCCTCCATTCGGCTCACCAAGGCATCACCTCAATGACCTCTCGCGCCGAGGCAACCGTATTCTGGCCTGGCATAACACCGGCAATTCGAGCCATAAGAGAATCCTGTCAACACTGCAACCGAATGGCCCCATCCCATCCAAACCCCCCTCCCACACCCATCACTCCACCAAGCTACACATTTCAACTCTTATGCGCTGATTACTTCCATTACCAAAGAGTCAATTACCTCGTGGTCATAGATCGGTACTCCAACTGGCCCATAATAGAGCGCTGCAAAGACGGAGCAACTGGATTAATCCACTGCTTACGACGTATCTTTGTCACATTTGGAATTCCAGATGAGCTAGCAACCGACGGTGGACCTGAATTTACTGCCACATCAACACAAGATTTCCTCACATCCTGGGGAGTCCATCATCGCCTGTCATCCGTCGCCTACCCTCACTCAAACTGCCGCGCCGAGGTTGGTGTCAAAACAGTTAAGCGCTTAATAACCAACAACACTGGCCCTAACGGTACCCTTGACACCGACACCTTACAAATTGCTATCCTCCAGTACCGAAATACACCCGATCCCACCACAAAACTCTCACCAGCAGAATGCATCTTCGGAAGACCGATCAAAGATTTCATCCCTATTGCCCCTGGGCGTTACCAACCCCACCCTACCTGGAAAGATACCTGCAATGTTGACATTATTGACACTAGCACGCACGTGACTAGAAAGTTAGTTAAGTATTTTAGAAGCACGAGGCTAGGGAACCGGGAAGTAACTGGATACGTACTATGCTGTTTGTACAAGTTGTTTGATATCTATTGTTATACTTAAAAGTGCTTGATATTCATACAAAACCACGAACATTACAATACCCTTATGACCCGCGAACAAGCACTTTGCAACCGTCATATGCGAACCACTGAATGGCTGTCCGAGCACACACGCCGACTCCCACCACTGAAAGTTGGGGACCAAGTCCGAATACAGAACCAAATTGCCCCCCCCCCCCCAAAAAAAAATGGGATAAAACAGGCTTAGTGATTGAAGTCCGTCAATTCGACCAGTATGCAATCCGTGCGGACGGGTCAGGCCGTGTGACACTCCGCAATCGTAAATTCCTACGCAAATTCATTCCAGTTCCGACATACTATCGCTGAGGATTTACGGTATCTACCAACCCCACAGACCAAAGCTCCTCAACCAACATTGCACACCCCACCAGCAGAGCCACCAGACATACCACCACCTCACATCCCCTAGCCCTACACCTCCCACACCCCAGTCCACATCAATGCCATCTACACCAAACCTCATCACACTGGAGCAAACCCCTACCCCCGCCAGTCAGGCACCTGAAAACCCTAGCACACCCAAGAAGCTACCTCTAGCTCCACGACGTTTACAGGATTACAACAAAAAAGGACTCCAGGAAGAGTGAACTAAGCTTGTTATCATATAAATGCACGGTTCATGTTGTTTTAGTTAAAGTATTTAATGACATCGCTCTCTCTCAATCATTAAAGACTTGAGGGGAGATAGAGAATAGTTTATTAACATTATTATAGCGAGACACTTCATTGGAATAACATAAAGTACATTGCTGTACTTCTCCATCATTCATGGAGGTTTATGAACATTTATAGAGCGAATTCATGTTATTATGTTTGTTAACTGAAAGAAATAGATGCATTCTTATTTAAAATGTACTCAATTTTAAGTGCCCTAAATATGCCCATCACACATGCTTTGATTCATGCATTTACCTAATTTGTATATTGTTATTGTAAAAAAAGTAAAATAACAATATGCAAATTAGGTAACACTGGGGGGAAAATGTGAAATCCATACTATGAGATTTGCAATTGCACCACTAAATCCATAGAATATCCATACTATTTCGATATTATATCCATAGTATGGAAATATACAATTATTATGGAAAATCAAAAATCCATTCTATTTCCAAAAAAGATCCATACAATTTCCATCGTATTGATCTTCAAAATATTTTCCAGTGTAAATGAATGAATTAAGCATGCGTGATAGGAATTTGTGCGAAAATATGAAAGCTTGAGCAGCTATTTCAAGGACTTAAAAATGAGTAAATTTTCTGATATTCGGACTATTGATAAAACACAACAAATTTCTCACCCATGAATTCAGAATGTGTTTTAAACTTTAAATCTCGCGGGCAAGCTATTTTTAATGCTGCCAAAAAAGACACAATACGATCCAAACAATCTATATTTATCAAACATTTCATGAAATTAACGGAATTGTGAAGTTGAGAGCCGTTTCAAAATTGTCAAACTTTTTTTATACACCTTGTATAAGTGGGATATAACAGAATTTGATTTGGCTAATGCGCGTGCATTGTGATGCAATAATGGAAGTGGAAAACATGGCACAATGAAAAACATGGCACAATGGAAAACACGGAAATGTCTGCAGATGAAACGAAAGTTTTCGTTTTGCATAGTTTACAAAACGTTAGAAAAATCCCAATCATTTAAAGGGATACGGCAATATATTTTTTTATTATTTCATTTGGAAGAACTTTTAATATTATATGTTAATCTCTTTTACCGATTTTGCGTAACTTTATTATTTCGTGAGATATTTGAACAGAAAAAGTCACAAATCAGCGAGCTTTCCGCCATCTTGGATTTTGGCGGATATGCATGTGACATCATAAGCAGGGTCACGCAAGAATTTTATCCATAGAGCAATTGGTTGTTATGAGCCAAAAATCATATACTTCAGTGACTATTTGAAATAAAAAACTGTCTGACGACTTTTCAAACAAGACTTAATGTTATTTGGTCATTTAGTTGTAGTTTTATATTGCTAACTCTGCTTATGACGTCACTAAAATCACCGATAATGAGATAAAAATTAATCCAAGATGGCGGACAGCAAATTATTTTAAGTCAAAATATCTCAAGAAATAATAACGTTACACAAAATCGGTAAAGGAGATTAACATATAATTTTAAAAGTTCTTTAAAATGAAATAATAAAAAATATATTGCCGCATCCCTTTAAAACCAACGATAAAAGCTGTAGTCTACTGCAAAGTCCACATCGTGTAAGCAAGCATGTGGTCAAATTCTCTAAACATTTTGTTCGTGAATGCGGTTCCGGAAGGATCATTATGATTACAGGAATTGTTTTTTACAATCCGAATTTTTCAACTTCAATTTTTTTAATACTAATTGGGTAAACTTTTTTGTCAAAATGGGTTTGCCACAAGAGCGTACACACTCATCTAGAGGGCTTATATACTCGTTATTTACCAATAACGAAGAGGCATGGGTAGTGCGGTACAAATACTGTTGAGTTCCGTCTGTATACCTGTACAAAATCACATGGGCCGAGAAAAGCTATTGAACGAAGATTTCACACAAATACAATGAACAAAAATACCTTGGCAAAATGTTCCATTTCCAGTATATCCACTGTTGCAAGTACATGTGAAGTTCGCAACAGAATTTTCACAAGTAGACTGTTCATGACAGAATGTACCAATACAACATTCATCTTCATCTATTAACACAAAAACATAGATAGCCTCTTCCTGGCAGTATCCGAACTTTATGTCAATTGTCTGAACCTGGCCAAATTAAAATTAACCAGAAAAATACTAAAACAATTGTTTATCTTTAGTGTTTAAATAAAGATTGGCTTCCCAACAGATGTGAAATATCGCAAATCAATAAGATCATAATGAATGTCAAAATTATATTAGCAATATTGGTGAAATTTTTATATCAATTAATTTAATTGCAGAACCAACATAGCTGCACTTTTTATTTTTTTTTTTTTTTAATTCCAAAAACAACAGAAAACAACTACGTTTTCCAATATTCGAATTTGCATCTATCGACGTGATGATTACTCTCACTACCTCATCTGTTAACAGCTATAAATTCTGTTCATTTTAAATAATATACTAGACCTAAACACAGCGATTGAAATTATACACACACATGATAACAGTATCTTGCATATTTGATTAACTTTGACACCAGGCTTGATACTCACCAAATGCAACTTCAATTCCGCTCGTCCCACTAGGAACAACAATACTTCCCATCTGCTCCCATGTGCTTTTCTTATATTTGTAGATTGTTACATTTGAAACAACCAGAACATATAAGTAAAGTTCATCCTGAGCTATTTTAATTGTGTCAGCATCTGTAATATTTAGGTCTATTGTTTCACCAGCATACGAGGTACTCATGACATTTTGTTCGAAATTAGCGTTGAAATTCACCCAGTAAACTACACCATTGTCAGCATCAACAGAAACATCCTGTGGAAAGTCCCCTGCTGGTTTGATCGGATCCAAGGCTTTTGTCTCAAGATTGTAACGCACAATATTGTCACCACTTGTCTTGGCAATAACCAGGTTACTAGAAGAGAAAACAGACAACAAAACCTGTCACAAATCAGTGTTAGAAACGTAAATCATAATATGTCTGATATTTGTGTCAGAAACGTTAAACATAATACTCCACAGATCAGTTTCAGAAGCGTAAAGCATGGTTATTATTTACAAATCAGTGTCAGAAACAGTTTTTCTTTTAAGGGGCCAATCAAGCTTGCATCTATGCCAGATTCGTCCAAGGGTTTCGATTTTTTGTCAACTTCTTTGAGCACAAAATATATAGTGCTGCGAGAGTGATATACAGTAGAATATTAACTGAAACAATAATTAATTATCCTCTGTTACAATGTCTTGACAATTTGTTCGGCCAAAAACCGCTTGGCCTTGAAAATTTGAAATACTTTTGTTTTACAACTCGAAGACAAAGTGAAAGAAATGGTTTAAGAACCGGTATATCTCACAGAAAAGCTCAGATATATTATACAGATGTTTGATAGTATAGTAAGTGTTTGTTGACTACAAATTCATTTGTCTTTCGTTCCAAACTTTTCTGAACAATTTATATTTTCAATGAACATGTTTTTTTCGCTGTTGTTTCGGTATCAATTCTTTAACAAACTTGTATTTAAACTAATTTCTATGCAATAAATGTATTTTTCTAATCTGTCAAATTTTTTTGAGAGTTTTTCCTTGTACTATTATCTTTCTCAAAGCGAATATTTTCCTTTTTTCTGCTTCGCAACACTCATGTAGTTTTTGGGGCGCCATCTTGTTTTTCGCTACTCGCCGTATATGAGCTGATATACGGCAAGTAATTCAACCAATCAGATTGCAAAACATATGAGCATACGGTGGGTGAATGACTATATTATAATTAGAAATTGCATGAGATGGAAGTTTTCCTTTCTCCTGACATACCGTAACACACAATTTAGTTTTCTCAATTTTGGTGGGCATAGCTATGCAACAATTGGCGAATTCGTTAAACTATAGCTACTACTGCAGCAAATACGTTTTAGTGTGTTCTTTCTTCACAACCGATGAACATGCAAATTTAAAGAAAAGGCCCATGAAAGGCAGAATTATATTTATATTTGTATCTCACTTTATTGACTTGACTTTATATTAAAAATGGAACTTTTTCACCGGATTAATTATTTACAATGATATTAATTAGAAATAAAGAAAAAGGAAAAAGAAAAAGGCGATCTTCCAGTAGGCTGTGTGGATGCACTATATACTGTATAAATATATTATATAAACTATCAACGGTTTTAAAATAAATTTAGGCCTAATGGCTGAAAATAAATTTCCAGCATTAGCATATTCGGTTCTTTTTAGTTTTAAAGCTAGAGATACTTTTCGATATTTTATTGAAGTGGAAAGGTTATTCCAACCCTCAGCCCCCCTGCAGGCAAAAGTCTTTTTCATATTGTTTGTTTTTGGCTTATTATAGGCATAATGCGAAGGTAAATGTTCGCTATTTCTCGTATTATGATTATATAAATTGCGTTAAATAATTTGGAAACATTTTGTTTTTTACTTTAAACATAAGTAGCGCTAATTGGTGGTCTCGTGTGCCTGTAATTAGAAACTTCTGCATGCGTTTCCCAAAATATCAGCAGATCGATTCTGACTCGTAGCTTTCACGTGTTATTATTCGAAATGCTCGGTTTTCGAGCTTCTGAAATTGTCCGATAAACCTTTTCCTATATATACAGCTATTTCAATTAAGGTTGTCCCCAAGCAAAGCGGAAAAGTCGAATACGAGCGCGAAAGGCTGCTGGGAATCGCTAAAAAAATATTATTAGCGATTTCCAGCAGCCTTTCGCGCTCGTATTCGACTTTTCCGCTTTGCTCGGGGACAACCTTAATTGAAATAGCTGTATACAACCCCAAACTTGCGAGCAATAATTAAAGTGTGGTCGAATAATTCATTGATATATTGTAATTAGTGTTCTACAATCCACTATTTCTCTAAGCCGTCTGATAGGATGGTGAGGCCTGGCATTGTCCTTTTTAGTAACTTGAGTAGTAATATACAGGCTGATCGGGCCGGATTTTTGTGGTGGCGTGTGGTGGTTTGTGGTGGCGCATCATCAATAGCATAGACTGTGGTAGCGCATCATCGTTAGCATAGACTGTGGTGGCGCATCATCATTAACATACGTCATAATTATATGCAATGACGTCACGCGGGCATGTTCGGGCGAAATCGGACAAAATTTGCTAACTATAGACATTTTTTAGCGTCCCTCCACATGTGTGATACAATAGAGGGATTAAGATTGGTTTACTATGATTGGTTGTTTGATTTAAGAGTCTACACGGTAAAGCCGCGTCTTACAATTTATTCGAAGGAATATATGCGATGTGATTGGTTGTTTGATTTAAGAACTTTTATACAAGTGTCTGTATAAAATCGACAAGAGTTTTGTAACAAGTATAGTTCTACATTTGACAACGCTTAGTTCTATATCAGTCATGGAGTGTCTACACGGTAAAGTCGCGTCTTACAATTTATTGGAAGGAATATATGCGAATGCAGTCGCACAAGAAGTTGAAAGACTTTGTGTGGAATCCTGTAATGGTTGTCAAGTCGGCCATCCTAGTCAAAGACAACATGACTGCCTCATGATGAACGAAAACGAACGATGGCAAATGTATGGTTTACAAGCGATCGAACGAGTGAACGGTAAGCGTATGGCTTGGAATGAATACGCTGAGGGAATGAGGGTACTAAAACTGGTGGTTGACAGAGATGTACTCGAACATTTACAGCAACAGGAAAAAGATCCAGATTCTACGTTTGTCGATTCATTGATGGAACTACATCAGAACACCACGAACTACAATGTATACTGAACTATTTGTTTCATTGGAGATTAGAAGACCCGCCCGAGTCAGTAGCTGAAACGTTTTTTTCGTACCCACCTAGTTACATGTATTATGTGAAGGCGACGGGTGAACGATTTAGAATTTTTGAAGCAGATCATAAGAAAGCTTATCAATAACTCATGGAGAAAAAACTTTTAGAACAGTTGTGATACATTTTGCCATAAAAATATGTTTTTGTATCAAATATGTGGTTGTTATATGCGTTGCTATGTGTTACCAGTCTTTGATTAGCGACGCTTGGGTGCATGCATATATTAATGTACAACATATGTGTACACCAATCAGGCGGGCGGGTCAGGCAAATCGCGCGAGCGGAAAGAGTGGGCTTTGCAAGCAAAAGCTTGCACAAGATTTCAGTTTTAAAATACATTTATTTCCTCAAAACGTTTTACAAAATTTAGTACGAGCTACTTCTAAGAGCGTAACGTCTAAGTGTTTTTGTTATTTTTAAAGAGTTCTCATACTCTTGTCTGTCTTCAAGGGATAATCTTGCAACATCTTCATGCTTCATTGGAATATATATTGGCCTTTCGGTTAGTAAAAAACTTTCATACCGCTCTCTTTCCTTTGATTTCATCATAGCCAAGTCACTTTCATTCCAATCAGCAGAGTCTACCCAATTGTGAAAAAAGTTGCGCTTGAGTTCTGGTCGTTCCTTTTCTGTTGGTGGTGGCGTAAGGAAATTAGGTTTAGGAGTAGCAGGCACTGGTGGTGGTATCTCCGCTGGTACAGGAGTAGGAGGCACTTGTGGTGGTATCTCAGCAGATACAGGAGTAGGAGACACTAGTGAAGTTCTCTGAACAGGAGCTTCAGCCGGAACATCCATCTTATTTTTGAATGTGAGAAACCGATTTAGTTGATCAGAGTAAAGCTTTCTTTTTTCCACCACAGAAAGTTGTGGCGCTTCCATGATTTCTTTCATTCGCTGTTCTGCATCATACATTGCATTTACAAGTGGCGGTTGACGATACGACTGTTTGTGTAAAAACGTTGCAATCTCGCCGGGAAGTACGTTGGTCTTGAGTCATAGTTGATCGTATGTTATTGGCTTTGAATCCAACATCAAGTACCCATGAGGTCGGCTCGTGGCATCTTCATAACTCCTCATAAACTCTTGCACTTTACCAGGATTTATTTGCCTTGCAAGCATAGAAATTTGTTGTTTATCTCTTGGTGACTTGAACAACACGATATAATGAGCAATAAGGCTGATATTTCTCATTTCTTTGCCCTGATGAAATATGTTTTGGACAATATAGATGATGGACAAATTTCGATGATGGCTTCCTTTCGTAAAAAGATCAGAAATACGTTTATCTTTGCTGGATTGTGCCATGAGATTGTTCAATACGATCAAATTCCGCTGAGATACGTCCAAGTAATCTGCGTTGTCGATATCGTCGGGAATGCCTTGATTAAACTCGATTCCAGGCATCGTCCTCATCATATCAAAATAGGAGGTGGCCATTGACCATAACGCTAAATGATACGTTGAGGAGGTGGACTTATAGTTTTCTGTGCTTTCTCCAAGAGAGATTTCACCCACACAGTCTTGCCGCTTTGTGTACACTCGGCTACGATACACGTAAAAGGATGCTGCAAAACTGCAGATCCTGCTGAGATTTCAACTGGTTTGCTTTGAACATCTCCATGGGTATTCAAAGTATGACACTTGAGGTTGCCGCATGTTGAAAATACTTTGGTACATATATTGCACCGAAAGGACATGTTCTCACACCACGAACGTCTAGCTGTAAGTGATAATAAGTTGGTGTATTCGTTCTATATATTCATTTATGCATCTATCCAGTATTCTTCCTTATCTTCCATATATTTATCTTCCTTATCTTTATCTTCCTTATCCTTATCTTATCTTCGTTATCCTTATCTTCTTATCTTCCTTATCTTTATCTTCCTTATCCTTATCCTTATCTTTATCTTCCTTATCTTTATCTTTATCTTCTTATCTTCCTTATATTTATCTTCTTATGTTCTTTATCTTCTTATCTTCCTTATCTTTATCTTCTTATCTTCCTTATCTTTATCTTCTTATCTTCCTTATCCTTTTCTTCTTATCTTCCTTATCCTTATCCTTATCTTCTTATCTTCCTTACCTTTATCTTCTTATCTTCCTTATCCTTATCCTTATCTTTATCTTCCTTATCCTTATCCTTATCTTTATCTTCCTTATCTTTATCTTCTTATCTTTATCCTTATCTTCTTATCTTTCTTATCTTTTATCTTCTTATTTTCCTTATCCTTATCTTTATCTTCCTTATCCTTATCTCTATCTTCTGATCTTCTTCTTATCTTCCTTCTCTTTATATTCTTATATTCCTTATCCTTATCTTTATCTTCTTTATCTTTATCTTTCTTATCCTTATCTTTATCTTCTTATCTTCCTTATCCTTATCTTCTTATCTTCCTTATCCTTATCTTCTTATCTTCCTTATCCTTATCTTTATCCTTATCCTTATCTTTATCTTTATCTTCCTTGTCCTTATCTTTATCTTCTTATCTTCCCTATCTTTCTTATCTGACATGCACATGGAGCCAAGCTCAGAGCCGAGCTCTCAATAGCTCGGAGCCCCGTATAAATTGCTTTCTCTCTTCCAATATAAGCCTCCTTATTATTGTTTTACTCATTTGCTTCCAAACCGTCGAACGGAAATGATCAATCCTCTAAGGCACAAGCCATTTCTTGAACTGCTGGGCACGTCTGAGCCTTATCAACAACAAGCGCTACTGGAAACAGCACCGCCGAGCAAGTACACTGCCTGTGTCTCTGTGTAGAAAACGTTATCAAAAGAAAATATTAATGCCGAAGCATGTAATGAAGAAACTCCGACCTTACAAACATGAAATGCTTAGGTTGGCAGATAGAGGAAATTAATGTGGAAGAAGAAAAAAACGGATACTCATGGTAACGGTTTCCTTGGACTATTACTAAGTCCTATTTTGGAAAGGCTGGCTGAACTTGTATAAAGGCCCTGTGACTATAATTTATACATCATTTCAACAATGAACATCGACAGTAAAACATCTCCGCGACACTAGCGCATTGAAGATATACTTTTGTATCTGAACAATAATGTCAAAAAATCTACAGCAGAAAAAATTCTACATTCTATTCTTATATCAAGCGATATTTTAACTTGGAATCTTCAGGGGGAGATTGTTTATCATGGAAGAGACATTCCTGGTACTAATATCGAGAACCTTTTACAATACGCACTTTTACCATACAACTCTCACATTCTTGAACCACGAGGGATCGACCTGTTTACAAAAGGCCTAGTAGAAGTAGGGATTAATAAAGATTTAATTAAAAATGAGTATTTATTGTCAAAAATGGCAAAGGAGGAACATGAAATGCCGCAATCTGAGAGTGATGTTGAAAGCGAATCTGGTGAAGAGGACAGGAAATCTGATAAGAGTGATAATGAAAGCGAATATGATGGTGATGATGGTGATGATAATGGGGATGATGATGATGGTGATGATAATGAGGATGAGTCCGAGACACTAGCTTGTAACCATTGTGGAAAAGAGACTGGTCACATTGTATACTTAATGTAGTGTCCAAGATGTTCGTGGAAAGATTTCTACTGGGGCAAAGACGTTCAATGTATGATATGTGATGAACAGTCACCTCTACTGTTTTCGCATGTCATTGGTTTCTGCGAGTTATGTCCGTATGGAACGTCTAACAGCAATGCAGGTGGAGTGGAGTTCACACCAAAAATGGACAAATAAAAGACCCAGCAGATTGGACCGAACGTGACCTAGCACGAATGACTCCGGAAGCAAGAGAGGATTATGAACGTTTTATATTGAGCGACAGACCAAAATATATTCCAATGAAACCGGAGAAACTTGCAAAGTTATCCCCAGAAGATAGACAAGAATATGAGAACTCTTTAAAAATAACAAAAGCACCTAGACGTTACGCTCTTAGAAGTAGACCTTACTAAATTTTATAAAACGTTTTGAAGAAATAACTATGTTTTAAATCTAAATTCTTGTGCAAGCTTTTGCCTGCAAAGCCCGCTCTTTCCGCCCGCCTGATTGGTGTACAAATATGTTGTACATTAATATATGCATGCACCCAAGCGTCGCTAATGCCTGGCAGCACATAGCAACGTATATAACGACCGCATATTTGATAAAAACCACACATAGCCTGGCAAATTTCTGATGTGTAGGGCACACGGGGTGTACAGAACCACTTCCATTTCGAGTGGTGAAAACAATATTGTTTTTAACACGAGAAGATATAAGTCGTATCTTCAAGCCAACGTGTAATGTTCTGTTTAATATATAGTCCAAAGCGAAAAATTGTATAAATACTAAAAGTCACGTGATCGATATCTTATCGATTATATATATATATTTAAAAAACTCATTAATAATTCAGGAGCAAAACACAAAGAAAAATCATAAGCGTGTCGTGGTTTTATATGTGATAAAAAATCACGTTAATTTACATAAACTTTAGCTTTGATTTTCTCGGTTTAGACAAAGTTTATTTTAAAAATTACTTCGCCAATGAACTCGTATAAGATGAGTCGTTTTTTAAGCTATTTAAAGCACTTGTAGTCGTGTTTTATGACATATAAAACACTCCGCTACGCGTCGTGTTTTATATGTGATAAAACACTCCTACGCGTGCTTTAAATAGTACATATATATATATATATATATATATATATATATATATATATATATATATATATATATATATATATATATATATATATATATATATATATATATATATATATATATATATATATATATTTATATTTATACCGGGTGTCCCAAAAAAAAGTACTCCGGTTTGATTCGTAATAACTTCTAAACAAGTAAAGCTTTTAAAGAGAAATAACTTGCATCAAATAGAGGAAGGACTAACTTAGATTTTGATATATTAGAGTTGTATTTCACTTAAAAATTCACGGAGATATTAATGTTTAAAATCGGGAGCATATTTCTGGATGTGTCTGAATTCTGAAATATGCAAAAAACGGCGTATCAAATATTAATCAACATTTGCTCGACTGAAACATGCACTATTACCATGCAGTAAACAAATGACATTTGACAAATTGTTTATTATGAAACAAAGTATTATTATCTACAAAATACAAGCAAGATTTATTTGTCCGAAATCCGTGTGCATGTGTTCCTAGCACGAATACGTTTCCTTGTTTCATGAGACCACTGCATCGCGAAGGATCGTCATGAATTTCCGCGTTCGTATAGTTCTGAATTAGGGCATGCTGTCACAATAGAATTGTGAAGCTCTTCTAACTTCTTCAAAGTTCTGAAATCTTGTTAAGAAAACTCAAACTCTTTTGCCTTTTCTTAATCTTGTTTATCTTGTTAAGTTCAGAATAAACTGAGAATGAAACACAATCAAACCATACAAACTCCATAAGTCATAACAAGCAACTCCCCAGAGACATCCAACATTTTTGGAACAAAACGTAACAAAATAGTAGCGTCGATATACTGTGATGTGTATTTGCAAAAAGCAATATTATTTCCTTCATTAAAGAATAATATTCATCCTGCTCTAACCGAGAAATAATCAACTCTGTTTTTAACCCATGAAAAACATAAAAAAGAAAAATTTAAGCCTGCCTTAGTGGTCTTTCATGTACCTTTAAGTTTGTAAAGACCTATTAAATACTTGCATAATTTCGAACATTCATATTTCAGGAAACAATGAGCTAAGACTTACATGCATATATGTTAAGATGTCTAAATCTACGCCATATCCCTTATACAAACCCTAACGACAATTCGTTGAAATACAAGTTAGCCTGATATGTCATTAAACAAAGAAACGCTGGAGTTATATTTGATATGCCGATTTTCGCTCATTTTAGACACATCTGAAAATATGCTCCCGATTTTGAACATTAATATCTCGGTGAATTTTTAAGTAAAATATAACTGTAATATATCAAAATCTAAGTTAGTCCTTCCTATATGTAATGCAAGTTATTTCTGTTTGATAGCTTTACTTGTTTAGAAGTTATTATAAATCAAACAGGAGTACTTTTTTTTGGGACACCCGGTATATAATCTGCATGTATGGTTATATAATGAACTTACTTATTTACGTGGTCAATGTCAATATCCTTGGCACCAGTAACATCAGTCAAATCACCAACTTGAGTATTCTCTAAGTCTGTCATATTTAACATATAAACGGTATCGGTTGATTCATGTATGTAATAGATTATACTGTTTCTTCCGTCGACTATGAACCTGGCAACTTGTTGTGCTGCTGCTATGAGTCTTAAATCTGAGCCGTCTAATTCAATGCTATAGAAGTTGCTCGAATCGTAATAGAACAAACGTCGAGAGAAAGGGTCGTAGTCCATGTCTTTCGCTCCTCCGCTAACAAGACTTGGCGAGGTTGTTACGTTATTAATGGTCACTTGGTAGTTTATTGCACTAGGACCATAGTAGACAATTATGGGGATATTGCACACATCTAAAAACAGAAAATATATGTAGGTAGCCTATGTGGGCTGTCGGGCTGATCGTATCAGACTGGAAAAAAATGTGAAATCCATACTATGAAATTTGCAATTGCACCACTAAATCCATGGTATGTCCATACCATTTCGATACTATGTCCATAGAATGGAAATATACAATTATTATGGATAATCAAAATCCATTCTATTTCCAATAAAGGTCCATACAGTTTCCATTCTATGACCTTCTATGGATTTTCAATTCTTTTCCCAGTGTCATACTATGCAGCATAACTTTCTAGATCTGGATTGAATAATCTTGTTTATCAAGCATGGGAAAATTTTCGTTCCTGTTTGTAAGGTAAATCACAAGGTAATACACGCTTTTCATAAATGGCTGCCGATTAAAAATTCTTTTATGTGCATATAAATTGGCCCAACTAGCCTCGTACTCATGTTAAGATTCCAAAGGAATTTCTACCCAGAAACGAGGCTAGTTGGGCCAATTTATATGCATATAAAAGAATTTTTAATCGGCAGCCATTTATGAAAAGGGTGTATTATAATTAACTATATTGCTTTTCAAACTCGCTCATCATGTGCCTGTGGACAGCAACGTTTCTCTTTTAAGTGGATTTCGCGGCTTACGCAATAACAAATAGCATCAAAATTTGTTGTGAAAATTTGAAGATAAATGATTTTACATTTTTAGATTTTCACGGAAAAGAGTAGGATAAAGAAATTCTGAAATGAGATTTTTAGTTTAAAAAAAACTTTCATGATAATATTAGTAGAACATCATTCTCTATTGATATATGAAATTAGAATGAAGAGCTAGTCACCGGTTTCTTTTCACATACATGCATGGAGTCATCAGTTCCAAACAAATGCTATGGTCACAGAGTACTTACTGTACATACAGAGGTCTCACTTCTAAGGGAAAACCGTAAGGCAGTTTTTACCAATATAGCTGGCAGCCCTGTTCATAGCAAATGCCCTAAAGACGGAGGCATTCACCTCCCTTGAATATTCAATTTCAATATGTTTTCAGGGGGGGGGGGCAACGGCCTCTCTTTAGGGCATTTGTTAAGAACATGGCGGACAACAAGGTGGAATTTCATTCTCGAACAATCAGCGCTTTTCTTTACATTTTTGCTCTAAGCCAATCAGCCATGCACCATGCGTAAAACGCGTCGTCACATGCAATTTGTAAACAAACGTTTGGGAATCATATGGAGTCATTTCAGAGCTTTGCTGCAGGCAGCTTGCTTTTTTTTTGGTCTGAAATTGATATATGTTGTTCTTAAAAGAATTCTCCTCAACTTCCCGTCGAAGATATGGGTCTTCAAACTTTGCCTTGCGCAAGCTTAAATACTACCCCTCGAATTTGTAGGCCTTTCAAATCGAGGTTTGAGAGGTTTTATTTCTAAAAGATGCTTTTATCTTCATATTTTCACATTAACTTATTACATCCTGATTGGCAAGTAAACATGACAAATTGGCATGTCGATTTCTTGCTGAACAGCGTGGCGATCAATATGGCGTATACAAATATAGGGAATTTTTAAAATTTTGTTGGTATAAAAGGGCTTAAAAAACTTATCAAATATTTGGACTACGGACCTTCAAACCTATGACAAGTATTTACTTGATTGAATAGCTCAATAACTGTTTTTTGGCTCGTTTTTCGTGGATTTGGACAGTCTTCCCAGCAAAGGATAATATGTCAACATTGTTGTTGCAGCATGTACACATGAATATTTTCGTTTGTCTGACAATCACACTTGTCTTAATTGTTTTTAATTCTTGAATGACACCTTATTCATTGGTCTCGGAGTCCTAACTGAAGGAAAATGGATGATTTTGGGAGAGAATGTTGTTGTTCAATGTTGCTGTTCAGATATCAAAGTTTATGGACATATGAACTTCATTGTTTTTACTTCGTCTGGCTCACTGGTCACAATTGGGCCCTGTTTACATTACTTGGCTAGGCGGAAGATGACACTTGCCAATATGTCCTATGTTCTTTAGCCCATTTATACCAACAAAATTTTAAAAGTTGCCTATATTTCTATACGCCATATTGATCGCCACGCTGTGCAAGAAATCGACATGCCAATTCAGCACAGTGTCCGGGATAAATAGATCAATATTATCAATAGACCTTATGCATAAAGACGTCACAAGGCTTGATGCCCGCGAGGAATGATGGTCTTGGTAGTCATCGACCGGAAAAATTCCGATAGTTTAATTTTATAATGAAATAATAAAAATGATAAAATGTTTAATTTTCCTGGGCGATGACTACTAAAATCGGCATTCCTTGAGGGCATCAAGTTATGTTATGGCGGACTGAAAAGATCCCTTAAGCTAAAATAACCTGAAGCGAGACCACTGACCACTGTATATAAAGACTCTGTGCCATATACAGTAGCACTAACATTCTTAGATGCTGAATTGAATTTTAGCACCATGATTATGGCCGCATTGAGAACGACTGTAGGGAGTCACTTTGAAATAGGTATGTAGTGGTAGGTCGTGCATGGTTTTATATAGTATTTGAAAGTACAGTATTGGAAGCACAACTATATTAACGAACAGACTTACCTCTAATATTACATCGATCACCAATATATCCATCAGCACAGTCACATGTGTAGCTTGAACCTTCGTTTCTACATGTTGCACCATTGAAACACGGAGAGCTCGCACATGGAGTACCTGGGAGAAGAATGTTTAAAGTGAATAAGAAACATCTTTCTTCTGAAAGAACACCTTCAGTTGAGACCTTTTCAATTTTTGTATTTGCAAGTTTTGTTGCTGCATATTTCAAGTTCTCTCGACTTGTCCGATATATAAAACACAAGCAAATACTTATTTCAACTTGTGTAATATTTAACACTCCGCAAATTAAGAAATAGAAAACATTTTCCGTGTTTCTATAGAGTTATAGAAACATGCGTGGAAGTTTGGGAGAAACGAGAAATTGCGTGTGAACATCAGCACAAATGACGAGTGTTTCCACGTAATTTCGACTTTCTCTCAAACTTCCACAAGTGTTTCTATAAATCTATAGGAACACGGAAAAAAAATTTTATTTCCTTTATTAAATAGCCTTTTAAAAACAATACAAAAGATAAATTTGTTGATTTTCAAATATTAATTCTATCTTAACATACGTTCGGGTAAAGAATAATTAAAGCATAGCGAAGTAAACAAGTATACCGCTGTCAAAACAACAGGCAGCACTTACAGTCAATTTCAGCTGACTTTTCATCGTAAGATTCCGAACTTCGTTCCGAACTTCGCAAATTCGTTGCCAAGTTCAAAAGTTCATAATGGATTCACAAACAAGTTTGTAAACTGGGCATTTGATTGGCTGGTTTGATTTAATAGCCAATCCGAGGCTTTGTTTACAAACCTGTTTGTGAATTCATTATGAACTTTTGAACTTGGCAACGAATTTGCGAAGTTCGGAACGAAGTTCGGAATCTTACGATGAAAAGTCAGCTGAAATTGACTGTAACAGGCTTACTTTACTAAAATATATAATTGGCCGTTTTTATACTAGAGACGCATTATGCGTCTGGACGAACTTGGGCAAGCATTTGTTGTTCGTCTGGTTATGCGTTTAGTATAAAGACGGCCACAAGACGCATTATGCGTCTAGACGAACGATGTTCGATTCTTCGTCTTAAGAGACGCACAACCGATGATAGTTCGTCTAGACGCATAATGCGTCTTGTGCCCGTCTTTATACTGAGGACGCATAACCAGACGAACAATAAATGTTGATAGTTCGTCGCATTATGGCCGTTTTTATACTAGAGACGCATTATGCGTCTGGACGCATAATCCGTCTTCTACATTATTCGTCTAGTATTATTCGTCCCGTCTTTATACTAGACGAATAATGTAGAAGACGGATTATGCGTTCAGACGCATGCGTCTCTAGTGTAAAAACGGCCAATCACTCAACAACATGCTTGCAAGAAAAGCACTGTTTTATACAGTTAGTAAACGTTTAAACATGCATGATTAAAAACGGCTCAATAAATTTCTTCTTGTGACACCTTAGACAGGCGGCTTACACTAACATACTTTGAACACATGCATACAGCAACTCATCGCCTATATTTTCCCAAGGCAATCCTTCAACAATCCCCGTTGACTCGATAGCTCAATGGGAGAGCGGCGGTCTAGATACCCAAAGATACGAGTTCAAATCCCGCTCGAGCCAACGAATTTTTCGTTGGTTGATTACAGTGTCAGAATAATATGAAATTAGTTTGACGTATTACTAATTGGCCAACACTGAATGTAGGCTCGGGTTGTGCTGCCATTTTTGTTATTTTTTGGTACAAAATTAACTGTACGTAATCAATTTCCTAAATATATACTGCATGCATGCAGCTATGTAAAAAAATGTTTTGAAATGTTCATTCAACTATTTCCCATGCATAGTATATCAATTCTTCTGATTTAATTCAAAGCAAAATTGCTTAAAATTTTATTGTATGAAAGCGATTTTCCAAATATAAGTTTTTGAAAATTGAACTCTCTTGCTTATTCCACTCCTGGCAATCAGCCATATTTTTGAGATCAGCGAGGAGTTCAACCCATACACCATGATACCACTATAGACTTCGCCAATACTTTCCTTTACCAGGGTGTAAATAGCCGAGCGGAATCAGAACGCTCGCCCGTTGGCTTGGGTCTTAGAGATCTCTGCTCTACTACTAATTTCCAGACATAGGGTCTCCCCTCGAAACGTCGAAGGTCTCATTATAATTTGCTTCTAGTTTCATCCTGTCATCATTCAAGTACAGAGCAACTTAATAAACAATTTATGGTATATCGGCATATTAGATAGATAAAAAATAACATAGAAAACTGTTGATGGATAAAATTACAAGTAAAACGTCGACGTTTCGAGGGAAGGCCCTTCATTTGAAAATTAGTAGCTTACTTTGGCTGGTATTTAACTTCACACAGACGGGCCTTTGCTTCACAAGTTCACTTGTATTTTTCAGGTAGTTGAATCGATACCCATTCTCCAGTTTTCTGGTGTTTTTGTCACTATCTACGCTGGTATATATATATATATTATTACTTACTGCATCGAGGGAAATCATCAATCCATTGAATAGTTATGTTCTCAGCGGAACATGCTGAAGCATAAGCATCAAATATTTGACAGAGGCACGCGTCAGGATTGTTTTCACAAGCACACATATCATATTCACAATCTGCGATGAAATACCTTTCTGTGGCATTTACAGTTTCATTGCATACCCAAAACGGTGCCCGCAGTAACGCTGAACAATTATCTCGAGCCATTGCCGCACGAACAGAGTTTGTAACGCAGGGATTTTCAACTGTTGGAGCGTCCCCACAGGTAGGATCTGTCTTCCATGAATTACCAAATGCTGTGACGTTAGTGGTGGTCACATTGTCAGACGTTAAGAGATCATCAGAATTATCATCATTGAATGTACCACAAAGACCTTCCACACTGTTGAGATATCGACCTAGAACTTCAATTTCCACATTATATACATTGTTCCAAACAATATTAACGCCATAGTTTGTTTCAATATGTGTTTCCCCTCCAACTGGACGAATTAGCATTGAACCTTGAAAAAAAAAACATAACAGAACGTTCATGGCACAAAATCTGGGAAAGTAATCAATTTTAGTTTTCAACTCATTGTCCGATTCGAAAACTAGATGTCACTACTTTGCATTATCTTATTACTAGAAAATTAGATGTCACTACTTTGCATTATCTTTGCATTACCAGGCTAATAAAACAATTTTGAACAGCGACTGCTTATTTTAAGTGTGATTTGGATGCACGGAAATAACAACCAATCAAAACTAATTTAAAATATGACAATAACAGCCAATGTTTCCGCCAATATCTCGCAATTTTCAATAAACGGCCTGGAATTACATACACAATAATAATAACGGTTATTGGCCGTGTTTACAGACAGCACTGAAAGGCAGTAATTAACGCGACCAAAAGTACAATTACAAGTACGGAATATCGCGTTACATAAACAACAACTTGACATTCCTTTAAAAGGCAAGGTTTTTTATTTCTGACCAATGGGAATTTAACGTATGATTCGATTCACTTTTTATTGACTTCAACAGCAGACTCTATTTCCAGCATAGAGTCTGACAGGCAGGCTATTAAATGAGAAAAGTGAAGCCAATATGGCGGAAATTGACGTCCAAACTTTACGACGGTCGTAAACAGATTCACACCATTTTTCCAAGCTAATTCTAGTTTTAACCGTATCGTTTATCAAGTTAAAAAGACTAACGTCCAATGGTCCATTTTGGCTTCACGTTTTGGACTCCAGTTCTCACAAGGAGCTCACTGCTTACAATGCTCTAAATGTTCTTACCAGAGTAATTTGCAGGTAAGGAAACAGTTGAACCATTAACCATCACACGATTTCTTTCAAGGTTAACAAGAAAACCAGGAATAACAAGTGATAATGATTTTGTGCACGCAACAAGACCACTTCCACAAGGTTCATTTACTTGTCGAATTTCGAAGATATTATCACGGGAATCTTTTGCAAGGACATATTCACACACGCCCATGAAGTCATAATGCGTTCCGTCAAATGTTGTATAATGCGGGTCACCTCTTGCAAGGCATGTGCCTTTGACTATAAAAGGAGAGAATTGAGTAATGTGTCTTTGATGTGACATGGTTACTATAAAGAAGAACACAAAAAACGCAAGCAATAACTGAAGCGTACACTTCCAATTTCGCATGCATACCTAACACCTGAGCCAAATATTATAAAAAGTTATTTGGAAAAACTGGGGTTTTTTAACTATGTTCCCCGGGGAAAACGGAAGTCAAACTTGTGAAATAAATATATTTCTGTTCTGATTTTGTACGATTCTAGAAAAACGTTTTTGCTTTCTGAATGTCAACGGTGTACTAGGCCTACAGATGAGCGGGAAATAAGTGTTTTTATCACCACAAAGTTATTGATTACAATCAAATGAGAATGAAAATTAGTAATTTTTTAAATTAGTAATTTTTTTGTTTCAAATTTTAATCTGTTAGATTGCCGAAGATTTTATTTTGCTTATGACCAGACAATTTCTTGGTTAAAGAGAGACCTCTGAATTAAAGGATTTGTATAGTAATAGTATGGTTTTAAGTGCAATTTGAAAAACGCCGCATGCACGAGTGAGTTTTGCAAAGACGAGTCCGACAGGATGAGTGCAATTTGAAGTCTTTGATGAAAAATTCACGAGTGTATGCATGTTTTTTCAAATCGCACAAGAAACCATACTATATTACTTATTATAATAATATACATGAAAACATTTTGCAGTCAAGTGCGTTTGCAGTCACATTTAGAAATTAAGAAAATTAAGAAATTTAGAAAATAAAAAATTAAGAAAATTAAGAAATTTGCACTGAATTCCTTTTTTTTCTTTTCACTATTTTATTTTTTGCACCGTCCTTCAAAAAAATGCCACTGCTCTTAGCCAATCAGAAATGATATTTTTTTTCAAGGCAGAAATAAAAAGATTTGCTTACTTTCTTGGTCACAACTGTCACCAGTGTAATCTGGATGACAAACACACCGGTATAATCCATCCACGTCCATACATACTTCATTTGCTCCACAATTCAAAACTTCACAGTCAATTGCTAGAAATAGAAAACAAATATCAAATAGCAATGTATCGCACACCACCTGAATATCCTCGTGATGACATAAATTCATTGCTCAGTTTCCAGAAATAGAGCAGTGCAGTACTGAACAAATACAAAAATATATTCGCTTACAAACAGGATATTATCAACGTTTTGTTACAAACAATAAGAACGTTCAAGAGGGAAATACCTAGTAAACAAATCCAGCTTTTAGCTTCATTTATGCGCTGTAAGGCTGGTCAGAAATTATTAGCTTGCACAAATTGCCCAAGAGTGATTCTTTCACGAATAACCCTTAATTAAACGTTCTATTTAAAACACGAACAAGAGTGCTTTATCAGATATAAAGCACAGACTGCGAGTGTTTGACATGGCTTAAAAAACGACCCATCTGAATGATCTGATGAGTTCATTGGCAAAGAAATTTTAAAAATCAACGTTGTCTATTCCGAGTAAATCAACGCTATAGCTTATGTAAATGAAGATGACTTTTTATCACACATAAAACTTTTCTTTTGTCTTTTCCTCATGAATTATTAAGGAGTTTTTTTAAAAATGAAAGAAAAATACTAGTGCGTAAGATTGCGTTAATAAGTTCATAAATCCCATTCATCACCTTAAAACAATTCTTTGCTGGTCATGTTGGTGGTAAGGTAAGGTAAATAATAGCTTTATTAGCATGACTATAAATTTACAGTATTGCTAAAGCATATAGAAGTTATAACAATATATAGAGAGTGGTATTTCAACACATCAACATAATATGCATGGTCGTCATTTTATTGTTTTTCGTCATTTTATTGTTTGCAAGTCAAACATACCGGTATAAGTAATAGCATGAAGACATTGCAATTTGGAAAAACATATTGATTATGATTATGATAATATTCAGCTTACTCCCCATCGGGACTTCTCAGTGATCGCGATTACATCAGGTGTTGTATCAGGTGTTGTATACGCTAACCTATATCACCAACTATAAGCTTAGACTATTTATTTTTACAACAATTGTGATATTACTTTCCTAACTATGTTTATCCTAACCCACCCTGTCAACTTTCCCTGTGGGAGGAAACCAGACCGCCCGGAGAAAACACACGACTTTCAGCAGAGCGTTGACTGACTCTTTTCACATGAATAATATAAAATTTAAATGTTTTGAGCTTTCGACTCGGCACTTCAAGCCTTCAGCAGAAATTTGGAATGTTTGAACGAGAACAGCGCGAATATTCAAACATTCCAACTTTCTAGCTGATGAAGGCTCGATGTACCTAGTCGAAAGCTCAAAACATATATGTAACCTGTAAGGTAATACTAACCAACACAGTTCTGTTGTCCATCACCACTGAAACCTAGTTTACACATACAGGTATAATTCCCAGGGATATTGACACAATCAGCGTCAGCATGACACGGGGAAGTCGCATTACTACATTCATCAATATCTACAGTAAAGGGAGTAATATACATTATCAATAAATCAATGAAAGAAACGGAATGTTCTGGACTAGGAAGATCGTTTTCCATTCTCGTAATTTCGTAATGTTCTGGACCAGAAAGATCGTTTTGCAGTCCCCGAACAAAGATGGTCGTTTGTGCTTGCATAAAATTTAGAATTAAGGGTTCACAATGGACACTTCCCGAAATTGGTGGTCAGCAACGTAATATATCCATTTACAATGGATTACATTATCCGCATATTGTCACGTGTAAACTCGAGCAATTTTGGATCTATTGTAAATCTAATATAGTGAGAACTTTTACTTTTCAGAAAGCTTTAAACAGCTGCGTATACCAGGGCTTGCAAAGTGGCCGCACTGCCAGTCCGCCATGCAGTGGCTACACAATATCAGATTCAGAGTCCAACGTTCGGCATCTGTAAGTGGTGACTTCGACTACGTATAACATAGTTACTAGAAATACATGCATGCAATAACCCCTCGCCTGTTTTCAAAAGATATATACTCAGTGCCGTTGCGAGCACTTCGTCGCAGGGTGTGTGTGTGGTTAGATAGAGGGGGGGGGTTACCAAAAAGTTTCCAGATGTACAAAAAATTTTCAGGACATATAATAATTTTTCCGAAAATACACTTGTTTTCCAAATTCACTTTCTCAGTCATGTCCTGAGAATTACCTGAATTCCCCTGAAAATCTTCTGCAAATCTACTTAAATGTACGTACTAAAAGTGCACTGGAAATCTACCTGAAATTCATCATGAGCAATAATCAGGAGTGTTGCACCCCCCCCCCCCAGTGAGTTCCAAGCAAACGCTCTCTGATTTATTGTTCGTGTATTTCGATCACCTCCCAAAATATTGTGCATCATACTATAGAGCATTTTGCTGTTGTCATGCTCTAGCATGGTTCAAATTTATGAATTTTTATTATATAAAGTATAGTGTTTTACAGAGTTTTCAAGCACTGACAAAAATGATAATCTCAGATGTGAAATTATTCATGATAATCTCACATGTAAAAATTTATCGCCTTTTCAATTATCCCTTTTCTGTTTTCATTTAAGACTGTCCTTTATATAATAAACAGAAAAATACATGGGTGGTTGGAAATACCAGATTTATTTTTTGTGTTGAACATGATATCTCACTCGTTCGCTGCGCTCACTTGTTCGCTGCGCACTCATGTTCAACACTCGAAATAAATCTGGTATTTCGTGCACCCATGTATTATTCTCTATTTAAACTACAGCTAGACTGGTTTAAATTATTATCAATTTATCAGTGATTGTAAAAGTTGGAGATAGAAGTGTTTTGTTTTATAAAATTATCAAGTTGTCGGGGATCGCAAAACCTCCAAATCCTTAATTTCAAATGTTAGAATGTTAGGGTTAGAATGTTAGGGTTTGTAATATATACATTTTAAGTGAGAATATATACATTTTAAGACCTAACCAGGAACGACTGCAAAAAATGCAGCACAAGGTCCTCTGGTAGGAATTGAACCTACGGCCCTGCGATTCCGGTGCAGCGCTCTAACCAACTGAGCTACAGAGGCCAGCTGTTGAGCTTTAACCGTAAGTTCATGTATATTTAAGTAATCGGGTGTGCGGGTTATGATAAGGTGGACTTCAATAATTTGGATTCTTGCACTTCACTTGGTGGACTTAATATTAGAATGTTAGGGTTTGTAATCCAAGTGAGAATATATACATTTTCAGACCTAACCAGGAACGACTGCGAAAAATGCAGCACAAGGTCCTCTGGTAGGAATTGAACCTACGGCCCTGCGATTCCGGTGCAGCGCTCTAACCAACTGAGCTACAGAGGCCAGCTGTTGAGATTTAACCGTAAGTTCATGTATATTTAAGTAATCGGGTGTGCGGGTTATGATAAGGTGGACTTCAAGAATTTGGATTCTTGCACTTCACTTGGTGGACTTAATATTAGAATGTTAGGGTTTGTAATCCAAGTGAGAAAATATACATTTTAAGACCTAACCAGGATCGACTGCGAAAAATGCAGCACAAGGTCCTCTGGTAGGAATTGAACCTACGGCCCTGCGATTCCGGTGCAGCGCTCTAACCAACTGAGCTACAGCTCGGCCAGCTGTTGAGCTTTAACCATAAGTTCATGTATGTTTAGGTAATCGGGTGTGCAGGTTATAAGGTGGACTTCAATAATTTGGATTCTTGCATTTCACTTGGTGGACTTAATATTAGAATGTTACGGTTTGTAATCCAAGTGAGAATATATACATTTTAAGACCTAACCAGGAACGACTGCAAAAAATGCAGCACAAGGTCATCTGGTAGGAATTGAACCTACGACCCTGCGATTCCGGTGCAGCGCTCTAACCAACTGAGCTACAGAGGCCAGCTGTTGAGCTTTAACCATAAGTTCATGTATATTTAGGTAATCGGGTGTGCGGGTTATGATAAGGTGGACTTCAATAATTTGGATTCTTGCACTTCACTTAGTGGAATTAATATTAGAATGTTAGGGTTTGTAATCCAAGTGAGAATATATACATTTTAAGACCTAACCAGGAACGACTGCGAAAAATGCAGCACATGGTCCTCTGGTAGGAATTGAACGCTACAGCCCTGCGATTCCGGTGCAGCGCTCTAACCAACTGAGCTACAGCTCGGCCAGCTGTTGAGCTTTAATCATAAGTTCATGTATATTTAGGTAATCGGGTGTGCGGGTTATGATAAGGTGGACTTCAATAATTTGGATTCTTGCACTTCACTTGGTGGAATTAATATTAGAATGTTAGGGTTTGTAATCCAAGTGAGAATATATACATTTTAAGACCTAACCAGGAACGACTGCGAAAAATGCAGCACAAGGTCCTCTGGTAGGAATTGAGCCAACTGCCCTGCGATTCCGGTGCAGCGCTCTAACCAACTGAGCTACAGAGGCCAGCTGTTGAACTTTAACCGTAAGTTCATGTATATTTAAGTAATCGGGTGTGCGGGTTATGATAAGGTGGACTTCAATAATTTGGATTCTTGCACTTCACTTGGTGGAATTAATATTAGAATGTTAGGGTTTGTAATCCAAGTGAGAATATATACATTTTAAGACCTAACCAGGATCGACTGCAAAAAATGCAGCACAAGGTCCTCTGGTAGGAATTGAACCTACGGGCCTGTGATTCCGGTGCAGCGCTCTAACCAACTGAGCTACAGCTCGGCCAGCTGTTGAGCTTTAATCATAAGTTCATGTATATTTAGGTAATCGGGTGTGCGGGTTATGATAAGGTGGACTTCAATAATTTGGATTCTTGCACTTCACTTGTTGGGACTAATATTTGAATGTTAGGGTTTGTAATCTAAGTGAGAATATATACATTTTAAGACCTAACAAGGAACGACTGCGAAAAATGCAGCACATGGTCCTCTGGTAGGAATTGAACCTACGGCCCTGCGATTCCGGTGCAGCGCTCTAACCAACTGAGCTACAGAGGCCAGCTGTTGAGCTTTAACCGTAAGTTCATGTATATTTAAGTAATCGGGTGTGCGGGTTATGATAAGGTGGACTTCAATAATTTGGATTCTTGCACTTCACTTGGTGGACTTAATATTAGAATGTTAGGGTTTGTAATCCAAGTGAGAATATATACATTTTAAGACCTAACCAGGAACGACTGCGAAAAATGCAGCACAAGGTCCTCTGGTAGGAATTGAACCTACGGCCCTGCGATTCCGGTGCAGCGCTCTAATCAACTGAGCTACAGCTCGGCCAGCTGTTGAGCTTTAACCATAAGTTCATATATATTTAGGTAATCGGGTGTGCGGGTTATGATAAGGTGGACTTCAATAATTTGAATTCTTGCACTTCACTTGTTGGGATTAATATTTGAATGTTAGGGTTTGTAATCCAAGTGAGAATATATACATTTTAAGACCTAACAAGGAACAACTGCGAAAAATGCAGCACAAGGTCCTCTGGTAGGAATTGAACCTACGGCCCTGCGATTCCGGTGCAGCGCTCTAACCAACTGAGCTACAAGAGACCAGCTGTCGAGCTTTAACCGTAAGTTCATGTATATTTAGGTAATCGGGTGTGCGGGTTGTGATAAGGTGGACTTCAATAATTTTGATTCTTGCACTTCACTTGGTGGAATTAAAATTAGAATGTTAGGGTTTGTAATCCAAGTGAGAATATATACATTTGCATAGTCTCACTTGGATTACAAACTATTCTCATTTGGATTACAAAATATATACACCAAATATATACATGTACTATACCGGTACATTTGTATATTCTCACTTGGATTACAAAATATTCTCACTTGGATTACAAAATATATACATGTATATATTCTCACTTGCATTACAAACCCTAACATTCTAATATTAATTCCACAAGTGAAGTGCAAGAATCCAAATTATTAATTTCAAATGCCCCGCCGGGGCTAAGGTTCGAGTGGAAATGCCCAACCCCCGGGATGTGCTTTACAGGAAAATGGCTGGGCGAGGGGGATGGGCACACTTGGATTTGGCTGATGCATTAAAAGTCCTGTGCTTATTCCAGACTGCTTGTCAAATATTTACTTGCTAGAAGTAGAAATTTACTCTGACCGCTGGATGAAGAAGACATTAAATAAGTACTGGTCAATAAACAGAAATGTATTTTATTTCATAGTATTACAATTTTATTTTTATACTATAAAAATAAAATATAAACATGCAGCATAGAATATGCAAATTCGAGGCAAAATTATTGTTGAATCGGTTTATTTATAGGATTTATAACAAATAGCAACTATAAAAGTTTGTACCTTGTCTTCACATCGTAATAGCCAATGCTTTTAATTTTACATATTTTAGAATCAGTTCCTTTCCTGGTAACTGCATTTATAAATGAAATCATCGTGAGTAGTGAGTGCTGAGCAGGCTGTTTTACTATAAACAAATTTTAGGAATTGTTAACAACTTTGAAAAATATATCGTTGCACATTCGGTCACAGTCGGAAAAATGTTCATAGTATGTTGTACCGTCGTTTGCAACTAACGATGAACAGTCGCTCATAAAAACATTCGCGTGATTAGAATCTTCAATGTTTGTCAAGAACAACAACACTTAATTAATTGTTGTTTCCCATGTGTGCAATAAAAATAAGTAACAAAACTTTGTCTGAACTTGTTGGGCTAGAGACCTACTGGAAACTTTTACAGGCTTTTTAATGAGAATAGAGAATGTTTTATCTGCAACTGTTCACCCTTAGTTGCCACCGACGGTATTTGACAGCATAAAATTGCCTGTGGCTGTGATAACTGATATAAATAAAATACAGTCTGGTTATACTGACTTGAGCGTGTCATGACAAACTCTTTATTGGAAAATTGTGAAGAAATAGTCGAATATAGAGGGTCGAATATCATACTTAAACTTGTATAGCTACAGTATCATTGGTACATAGCGTTGTGAAGACAAGCCTTTGCTTTAATACCTTTCGCTTCAGCAGTCTTTTTTTCCATACTTCTCTACGCTTTCCCAGGCGAGCTTCTCTTTCCTCAGCAGTCTCCTCGAGCAAACGTTGTCGTCTTCGCTGGCTCCCTCCTTTTCGCGAGACGTTCGGCTTTCTTGTCGTTTCCTTGCCGCTCTTCATTTGGCTCCATACAGTAGTCCATATCTTTTCAATTGGTATTTGATACCATAATTGTTTTATTAAACTCTTTATAGAGCAAATTGCTTTGAAAGCTGTCAAAGTTTTTTGCAAACGTACAAAATACTGCAGTGCAAAAAGCAAAATATTTTCATGAAGTATCTGTCAGTTGAACAACAAATTTTAAATTTGACCAATCAGTGTTCGCTATTCATGACAGTCCGCCATATTTTTGAGATCAGTGAGGATGACCACCCACCGAAACACGCACAGTGACCCACGCCCGCGATATTTGATGAACTTCAGACTTCCCTAATGCTTTCGTTTCCCCGAGTGTAAATAGCCGAGAATAACCCTCGCACGGCGCTAGACCAGCTCGAGGATGAAGGTCCGTTTCATTTATAAGGATTATTTGGTTGTACCTAAGTGACCTTCTATCTAGTAAGTTGTAAGATCCCGTTTTCCGGACAGATGGAAGGACTTCCTTAAATACCCAATCTTGAAAGGCCTCCGCTATTGGAAGTTTAGAATTGAATACTAGTTGGTATATTCCTGGTTCATATAATAGTATTGTCTGTGGGTGACACTTTTCCAAGGTGAACGTTTTGGGTACCCTTTGAAGGTCCCTCACAACTACCTTATTTAACTTCCAAATGTGGTCCCTGACAGCTTTTTGAGGGTTTGAGTACCCTAGAGATTCTGCCACATCTTTTGCGTAGAACAACACCTCGTCACCACACCTCACAGTTCTCACGCTAACATTCAACTCCTGGTTCCTGAATAGTTTTTCCCTCATTCCCTATACTATATATGTAAAAATTTTTGGGCCTTTTTTATGGCTATTTTATTTTGATTTATGAAGCAGCATTCCCTCTTCCCACCCAGCCGCTTACTATTTACATCCTACAGCAAATAAAATACTAAACTCCATGAAGGTTCTTGTATATCTTTACTACTGTTTTAACTGTATCATCTTTAAAGTTGTGGAAGTCATCCTGAAGGGGTAGTATGATCTTATTCCTAAGTGCATATAAGTCTTTCTCTATTGAGTCCAAAGTTTTCTGAATCTTATCCAGCCTCTCATTGCTAGCGTTAGTTTTTTCAATCAGTTCATTAATTATGTCTTCAAATTCAGTTCCTTCCCAGGCGTTTCCCCAGTCGTACGGCTCTCCGAGTTGAGACATTCTTCTTCACTATGTAATAGAATATGTTTTGCTTCCTCAGATATTTCCTCAGTCTTTCCCTTCTTATTCCACTTGTGAGCAACCACGTGCTTAGCTGTTGTGCATCCACCTGATATGAGACCAATGAATGGAATGTTTGGTGATATCATTCTAGTTAAATAACATACGTCATCCTTTAAAAGCTTATCACTAAGTAGTTCCTCTGACAGCTTCTCAGAAGATTCCACCGCATTAAAACTTCCTAGTATGGAAGCAAACTTTGAGATAATAAGTGTTGATAAGAAGTCACTTGCGCATGACATCCTCTGACTTTCATACTCACTGTAAAGTCTATCTATAACATCTTTGTTTGACTTTCTTATGAAACTTGCGGTCTTATCAATTACACCGTCCTTAGATAGCTCGATAAGCTTATTCCTTTTGTGTTCGGTTTGCGACTTATCTGCGGTTGGCTTAGTTTTTATTGCGGTAGACTTAGCCTTCCTTTGCGGCGCCTTTGCGGCCTCTTCTACTTTTCTCACAGCTGCAGTTATTTCTTCATCGGATTCGCTTCCCATCTTTTATATGTTACGCGGTGTTTAATTTAATATTGTATGTGTAAGGGTGAATGAGGAGTATATCTAATGCGGTGAACTTCTCATCTTTTAGTATTTTTGTAATCTCTGTAATTGTCTCCTGAGGGACACCACTCAGGTAATCATCTGTTATGACCTTCATATCTCTGCGACTAGGGTTGTAAAATGTAACTAATCTGGAAATGTTCTCCCTAAATGGTTTTGCTACTGATGACAGTTGCTGGGTAATTACAATTACAGATATATTGTAATGTCTTGCGGAGAATGCTAGGCGCACCAGTTCTGAGACTCTTTTCTTTACATCTTGACTTGCAGCACAATCGTCCACTATAATGAGAGTCCGGGTTCCGCGGAATACGGTGGACACTGCCTTCAGAACTAGATTGATCATTTCTTGTGAACATGGAATTTGTATGACTCCATGATCACTAATATGAGCCCAGTTAATGTAAGTCATATTCCATTCTATTGTTGGACATATAATAACAATATAATCGAAAACTTTATTGTATTCTGTTTCTAACATATTAAGTAAGAACTGAGTCTTACCACTTCCAGTCATTCCTACTATGAGCATATTAAATGGTGGCTCTAGATTCATCTCTATGCTTTACCGTTAGTACTAGCTGCGCTAGCAGCGTCTACTGACGTAGTCGGTACTAATTAGTACTGAATACTTGATAGATCTCTACTAGCAAAGTTAAGGAGAGCATCTGATACAACAAAAATGTTGCATTGGATGTCAGCTGTTGTGGCTCTCTTTTTAATTTCCATAAGTACTCCAGACTGTGTGTTAACAATCTTTCTACCTCCTCCAGTGGTGTCATCCTGTGTTGACCTTAGATCTACTACTAAAGCGAAACCGGTGCTGAAGAACTTGCTGATGGACATAAATTCGTCTGCCATGGATTTCTCACACATAGGACAAAAGAATCGTTTTGCCTCTTCAAAGAACCTACTTTTAGGAAGTCCCTGGGAGAAAACTGCATTAGGCACACCCTCAATGGTAAGGTTAACTTTATCAATGTTTGGGTAAGTATATTCTTCAGAATCAGTTCTTACTCTGTTGGTAAATAGAAGGACAATTGCTGACATGCTCTTTCTGGGAATATTTATGTTTTCATTCACAATGGTAAGATCTTTGTCCCAATTACTTGTACGCATAAGAGTGACGTGTTTGTAGGACAGTGAGCGACCTGTTGAGTACATCCTTGATACTTCACCTGCAAGGGCGTCATTCTCAATGGTCTCGTATTCTAACTCGAGATTATCCAGTTTATAATTACCCTTAGCTTCACCTCCTTGAGCAGTCATAATTTCATCTGATCCGGGGAGTGTGAATATGTACATAGGATTGTTGTTCATGTAGAATGGTACGTAGAGTCCATGGTCTGCGATAATCTTATCAATTGGTTTTCTAAGTTTGGAGCCGTATACACTATGGAGAAGTCCATCTGCTATTTTACCTGCATCACCTACTTTTACTCCTGAGTCGTCACCTGATATCAGCTTTCTCAGGTTTTCACTTCCGAGGCCCTGTTCTGTCATCTTATTTCTATCACCCTGTGTTAGCCATAGGTCTTTATAAATTTCGTACAAACTCTCTCCTGAACAGTCATAGGCTGTTTCACCTGCTACTTTAACCTGAAGACGTTTTGCAATCAACTTAGCTAGGTTATTATTGAACCTGCTCTTTGTATTTGAATTTTTAAAATCAAATAAGAGTGTAAGTGACCCTGGAACTAAACAAGAGTCGGGCTTTAATTTAGGAATGTTAATGTACAGCTCTTCTCCCGGGCTAATTGTTGTTGGATTGAAAGTTACAACACTTCTAGTTCTAAGTCCTTTTATGGATGTCATACGGCTTCTCCTGAAGCCAGGCTGGAGTTCTCTTTCTGTGGTATTCATGCTTTATACAATATGTAATGTTTAGTGGTAAAAGTATAAGGCTATTCCTACAACTATTGCTATTTTCCATAAGTTTGATGATATGAATTTAATCAGTTTGTTTGCTACATTAGGGAGTGGCCTTGGTTGTGAATCTGAACTTGAACCTTTATTTGAAAAGTTTGCTGCTTTTGAGGAAAGTTTCCTGGTCTGTATGATGACAGCTGTAAGGAGAGCAGCAACTGATATTATAATACCTGCAATCACAACTCCGAAGTTATCTTCAACCCATGATTTGAATCTTTCATACCTCGTTAGATCCTCTCTAACATCCTTCACCATTGTTTCTGTGCTGTCACCACTGAATATAGGTTGATTGTCTTCTGGGATACTATCCTCTGCGACTTGGAACAGAAGACTCTCAAAGTTGTAAGTATTATCTACCCATTCAGTGTCAGGACCTGCGGGCTCCTCAGACTTCTCACCTATGTCTACCTTCTTAGGTTCCTTGAATTCAGGTTTTTTAGGTTCTTTACCTCTGGGCTTTTTAGGTTCCTCAGGTTGAGACTTCTTAGGTTTCTCAGGTTGAGACTTCTTTGGTTCCTCAGGTTTAGACTTTTCCTTCTCCCATTCTTCAAGCTTTTTTCTCCAATACTCTGTTTTCTCCTTATCATCTTTCAAGGATTCTAGTCGCCTTTTAATCTCAGCTTCTGCATTCTTTTTGCGTTCTATTTCAGCAGCTTCTGCGAGCCTCTTGCGTTCCAACTCAGCTGCCTTTCTTCGGTCCTCTTCCTCCTTCTTCGCAGCTTCTTCCTTCCTGCGTTCTTCTTCCTCCACTTCTAACTCCTTCTCAGGCTCATTAGGATCGAAACCTAAGTTTTTTATAATTTTCTTCAACCTGTCTATTCTTTCTGAGTAGTTGGTCCTTTTGAATTCAGCCTTAGCTATTCTCTTGAGTACAACTAGGGTTTTTACCTCTTCCTTGAGAGTTCCATGGGTTGCGTCCAGGTAGACCTCAGTTTCTGACCTCTTCCGGACCTTAATTCTCTTAAGTCGGCTGACATATTCAATTTCCATCCGAATATCTCTGTTCTCATTCGGGTCTTCTGTTCCCATTGCTTGACTCCGTAGAATTTCTATTTCAGAGTCCATAACTTCAGGTTCCATTTCCCTATAGCTAGGGTATAATTTATCTAGCCTATCTATATCCTCATCTTCGAGGCCTTCCCAGATATCAGAATATTCACTACTGTATTCATCAAGGATGGTGCTTACCCTTTCCATCCATGCTGCTTTGTATTCAACACTTTCAGCCATTATTATACTTTACTTAGTATAATAATTGTATATAATCAAAGAGGCAGCTACAACTAGTACCCATAAGTTTGACGCTAGCCAGGCAACTCCTTTTGCTCCCCATGACAGCGCAGTTCCAATTGCATTCAGGATTGGAAGAAGAATTGGTCCTACTTTCTTTGCTAAATTTGCTAGTGCTTTTGCTACCTTACCAGTGGTCTTTCCTGTTCTCACAAGGGCTCCCCTAGCATGGATCAATAAGGCTGTAATTAAACCTGCTGTTGACACTGCTATACCTGCAAGTCCCACTTTCTCCTTTCCTACCCAGTCTATAAATCTACGTAATCTAGAAATATCTTCCAACTGTGCCTCTCTTGCTTCCTCTACTACTCTCTGCTCTAGTGTCCTGTCTCTAGGTTCCTTCAAACTGTCAATTCTTTCTATAAGGGAATTATACTCAGTTGTACCCTCAGCTTCAGTGGCCAGTTCCGTTGTTTTACCAATAGCTTCGTTAAAGTAGTCAGCTTGTATTTGTAACGCTCCATTGGGACCTGTTCTGCCTTCTATGCTTGATCCATCAGGTGGGTTAAGTACACCTCTCAGTTCATTGTTTTCTTGCATTGTTAGCCCTGGAAGATCTCCTAGTTTTGCGCTTATATCTATTAACTCAATGTTCTCACGGTCAGCGTATTCCTCACCACTGGCATTAAATTGCGGCTCTTCTCTAGTATCCTCATAAAGTGATTCATCACTTCCAATTCTAGTGTCAGGATCTGTAGGTACCTCTTTTATTTTCTTTAGAAGGTCCTTGTATTCTCTCAGAGCAGGTGAGCCCTTTGAGTACACGAGTTTGCTGGTCTTACCACGTTTCATTATCTGTGTGCCACTTTTGTCAATACCTTGTTCACCTCTGAATACCAACACCTCTGTGCCATCCTTGAGTGTTCTTACAGATGATCGTTTGATGAGTTCTCTGACGTATCTATTTTTCGGGTCTAGTACTAGTCCCTCCTTATTCTTGATAACTCTTGCGACAGCTTGAACGCGCTCCACTTGGTTTTCAAAATCTCTCTTTTTGTTTGCTGTAAGCCGGTCTTCTGAGAACTTTTTCAGTTTCTCTAGGCGGGCTTCTATTTCATCCCAGTCAGCGTCAAATGATTCGTTGAATGCATCTAGCACATCAGGAAGTACATTGTTTGGGTCTTCCACAAAGTTGA